GCTAAGTAGCAGTTCTGCAGAAAAGGACCTGGGGATTATAGTGGATGAGAAGCTGGATATGAGTCAACAATGTGCCCTTGTACTCAAGAGGGCTAATGGCATATTAGGGGCATTAGCAGGAGCATTGCCAGCAGATCCAGAGAAGTGATTATTCGGCTCTGGTGAGGCCACATCTGGAGTATTGTGTTCAGTTCTGGACCCCAGCACTATAGAAAGGATGTGGAGGCATTAGAGGGTCCAGCAGAGGGCAACCAAAATTATTAGGGGGCTGGAGCACACGATCTATGAGGAGATTTTGTTGTGTTTAGTCTGCAGAAGAGAAGAGTGAGAGGGGATTTGATAGCAGCCTTCAGCTTCCTGAAGGGAGGTTCCAAAGAGGATGGAGAACGGCTATTCACAGTAGTGATGGATGGCAGAACAAGGAGCAATGGTCTCAAGTTGTGGTGAGAGAAGTCCAGGTTGGATATTAGGAAAATATCGTGGAATGAGGAGTACAGCTAGTTCGGATTAGGAAGCCTAATCCGAACTAGCTACTCTGTGCCGCGTGTAGCCGCGCGGCACGGGGTTCGAACTGCCGGCATTTAAAAATGGCGCTGGCCGGCTTCATGCAAATGAAGCCCGGGAAATTCAAATCCCGGGCTTCATTTGCAAGTGCGGTATGCCTACATTACCCTCCTAGTTCAAATTAGGAGGGTAGTGTAGACATACCCTAGGAGAGTGGTGAAGCACTGGAATGGGTTACCTAGGAAGTGAAGTCTCCATCCCTAGCGGTGTTTAAGTCTCGGCTTGACAAAGCCCTGGCCGGGTTGATTTAGTTGAGATTGGTCTTGCCTTGGGCAGAGGGGCTGGACTTGATGACCTCCTGAGGTCTCTTCCAGCTCTATGATCTCTAGATCCTTTTCTGCATTACTCCTTCCTAGGCAGTGATTTCCCATTTTGTGTGTGTATAACTGATTGTTCCCTCCTAAGTGGAGTATTTTCCATTTGTACTTATTACATTACATTCTATTTACCTCCAACCTTTCCTTGAGATTGTCCATATCATTTTGAATTGTAACCCTATCCTCCAAAACACTTGCAACCTTTCCCATCTTGGTGTCATCTGCTCTCTATGTCTTTATCTAAATCATTGATGAAGCTATTAAACAGATCAGATATTAAATTGATCTCTTGTAGAACCCTTGTTCCACTTGTTATGCCAGGGGTGGGCAAATTCCAGCCCATGGGCCAGATCCGGTCTGCAGGTTTAATTCCCAGGGGGCCCTCACCTATGTCTGATGCCTGCGGAAACGCATGAGAATATATCACAGCTCTTGATGGCTGCAGATCGCTGTTTGCGGCCAATGTGAGTGGCAGAAAGTGGTGTCCCTGTCTGCGCCACTTCCTGCTGCTTGTGTTGGCTACAAATGGCGACATGCAGCCAACAAGAGCTGTGATCATCCAATATCTGCAGAAGCGCAAGTAAACATAGTGGTGCCTAATCCAGGTAGGCTGCCTTTTTTTTTTATTGCCCACCCCTGTGTTATGCCTTTCCAGCATGATTCTGAACTCGTGATAATTGTTCTCTGGTAACAGTTATCCAACCAGGTATGTACCCACCTTATAGTAGCTCCATCTAGATTGTATTTCCATAGTTCGTTATAGAAAAAGTCATGTGAAACTATAGCAAATGTTTTACTAAGCCCAGATATACCACATCTATTGCTTCCCCCTTCTCCACAAGGCTTGCAGTCCTGTGAAAGAAAACTATTGGGTTGGTATGACCTGATTTGTTCTTTACAAATCCATGCTGGCAAAATATCTCAGGGTACGTCTACACTACAACGTTAATTCGAACTAACAGATCCAGACTAAAAAACTAGTACGAATTAGCGTTTTGCTAATTCAAACTAGCATGTCCACATTAAGTGGACCCTGAACCGGACTTAAGGATGGCCGGAAGCAGTGCCGGCAGGGCATCAGAGGAGGACTTAGAGCGTGGAGCTGCTGTCTCAGGCTAGCCGAGGGCTGTGCTTAAAGGGTCCCGACCCCCACCCCGGACAGACAGTTCTCAGGGGTTCCCCGCTTGCAAAGCAGTCCTGGCTTGGAGTGCCCTGAGTGCCCACACTGGGCACATCACAGCACTCGGCCATCAGACCGACTGCACTTGCCACAGGCTGCCATCTGGGGAGAGGGGGCAATTGGGGGGCTGCAGGAGAGCTTCCATCCCCAGAAGCCCGCAGAGTCAGCCCAGTCCTCCCCATCGGGGGCTCGTGCCCCATTCCTCCCTCACCTCCTTCCACTTACCCTTCCCTAGCCCCTCTTCTTGATGTACAAAATAAAGATAACGTGTCTTCCAAAATGGAATCTGTCTTTATTGAACAAAACTGGGGGAGACTGGGAAAAGAAGGTGGGAGAGGGGAAGAGAGAGGCTGGGAGAGGAGAGGGCAACTAAAATGATCAGGAGTTGGGAACAGGTCCCATATGAAGAGAGGCTAAAGAGACTGGGACTTTTCAGCTTAGAAAAGAGGAGACGGAGGGGGGACAGGATAGAGGTCTCTAAAAGCAGGAGTGGGGTGGAGAGGGTGCATACAGAAAAGTTCTTCATTAGTTCCCATAAAGAAGGACTAGAGGACACCAAAGGAAAGGAATGGGTAGCAGGCTTCAAACTAGTAACAGAAAGTTGTTCTTCACAAAGCAAAGAGTCAACCTGTGGAACTCCTTGCTGCAGGAGGCTGTGAAGGCTAGAACTGGAACAGAGTTTAAAGGGAAGTGAGATCAAGTCATGGAGGTTGGGTCCATGGAGTGCTATTAGCCAGGGGGTAGGAGTGGTGTCCCTGCCCAAGGTTTGTAGAAGGCTGGAGAGGGATGGCACGAGACAAATGGCTTGGTCACTGTCTTCGGTCCATCCCCTCCAGTGTCCCTAGGGTAGGCCGCTGTCGGCAGACAGGCTACTGGGCTAGATGGACCTTTGGTCTGACCCAGTACGGCCATTGTAAGGTCAGGGCTCAGGGGTGGGGGTCTCAGTGGCCCCCTTGATTCTCTTGCACACCTGCTCCTGGGTGGCCAGGCTGGCAGCTCTCCTGCCCAAGCCGGCCGCTTTCCTGTGCCTAGTGCGGAGATCGTGGACGAGGTCCACGATGTCCGCACTAGCCCATGCGGGGGCCCGCCTCTTGCGGTCCCGGGCAAGCTCCCAGGAGCCGCCAGCCTGGTCCCGGGAAGAGGGGGAGAGCTGGGGGGCATCGGGTGGGTGGCTCGATCCGTGCCAGGTACAGGGTCTGCTGGCTGGGTGCTGGCAGGCTTGCACCTGGCATGGGCACCGTAGCCAGCCCGTGCCCCTTTAAGGGGGCCGGGGCCGGGAGGGGGGCAGTAGAGTTTTCCTGGTGTTGGCCAGAGTGGCCACCAGGGAAACCTGGGGAGGGCTAGCCTCCCACTAGTTCGAATTAAGGGGCTACACACCCCTTAATTCGAACTAGCTAGTTCGAACTAGGCTTAATCCTCGTGGAATGAGGCTTACCTAGTTCGAACTAAGCGCTCCGTTAGTTCGAATTAAGTTCGAACTAACGGAGCGCTAGTGTAGCGCCTATGAAAGTTAGTTCGAACTAACGTCCGTTAGTTCGAACTAACTTTGTAGTGTAGACATACCCTCATAGTCTAGTGGTTATGCACGTCCCTTTCTTACTTGATAATAGATCAAGATCAGCAATGGCACATGTCAAATCATACCAGCAGTAATCAGGTAGGTAAGATATCTGAAGGCAGATAGTTGCACAGACATTTCCACTTGCAACTCTTACCCAAATGCCACGCTATGGAAAAAAACCCTGAAAAACAGAGGTAATGCTTTGTGTGTGTGTGTGAGAGAGAGAGAATTTTTTCTACCTGCCAGCTGCTTTAAGAGTTTGTCACAAAGTACAAAGATTGCTGTCTTATATAAGTGAAAGTCTTAGATACACCACTCATCTATTATTCACAAGCCATGCCTTTGTGGGCTACAGACTCTGATCTGCTGGTGCTCCTCTTACCTCTATCAAGGAAATGCAGGTGCAGAGTGAAATCAATATCATGGGATGTTGGCCCATAGTAGGATAAAAGTTTCTTCAGCATTGTTAATAAAAATACATATGATGAGCCATTCTCCAGGCAATTATCAGTGTCACCATACCTATCTAAATATTATGCAGTGATCCCAAAAAGTGGTGAGGTGAACAACTGAGTTATTTTCAACATCAAACACGATATATAAATGATAATAATCAGGTATCTTGTTTTATGAAGATATACAAATGTGCTACTAACCTGTTGATAAAGTACTATTCTGCAAGTGATGGCACTGATTTCAGTGGGCGTGAAGTACTACTTGGGGTGCATAAGAATGACAGAACCTGGATCACAAAAAAGGGCCAGCTTCTGTGCTTAGACCCTCTGCAGTCAGTCCTAATGAAGTCAGCACAGACATTGGCTCAAGATGTTTAAAAATTTAGCAGCAGATAGTGTTCATGTAGAAGCCAATTGTTGAAGGTTACTTGAAATTGTTATATCGAAATGTTGCAGGCAAAAATTGGCATCAAGAAATAAAGACCAGTTATTCTGCTGAACTTTAAACATTTATTTTGTGTTGACAAATACAATATATATCTATTCAGTATATCAATAATTGTGTTTTGAATGCCAACAAAACTACATCAAAAGAATTCTACCATACACCATACTTTTTACAATATCTCTGACAGAAATACATAATTTTATCAAAATGGATCTTTGAAATACTACTATAGTGGAATTTATGTACATTTAGAATAATACAGAGGACATTTGCAAAAAAGTTAGCAAAAATATCTTTTCCACAGAACCAGATAAAAGGGGCTACGTCTACACTGCAACGCTATTTCGGGATACCAGCGTATCCTGAAATTGCTATCCCATGTCTTAACAACAAGCCCGTTATTTCAGGCTCACTAGTCCAATGTCCCTGTAAACCTCATTCCATGAAAAATAAGGGACATTTCAGAATAGTGGGTTATTCTGAAATTTGGTGCTGTGTAGACAGTGCCAAATTATGAAATAAGCTATTTTGAAATAAGATCTGTAAATTGTGTAGCTCAAATTGCATATCTTACTTCGAACTATTTTACAGTGTAGACATAGCCAGGGAGAACAAAACAAATCTATACAGTTTTGATCAAGATCTTTGAAAGTGCGTTTGCTGCCAGTCATGTCATCTTGATTATGCCTACCAAAAAGTACATAAATTCTTTTGTGATTAACAAATAAGCTGCAAATCATCTCTCCCATTTTCTTGTTTTATAAAATGATCGTTTTCATATTACTGCACCCTAATACAGATATGATCCATTTTGTTCAAATTAAAAAATAAATAAGAAAACCGCTTTAATAACAAGAGTGCAAAACAGATGAGATTATTCTCAGTACTCTAAAGCCCATTTCTGGTTCCCTTCAACAATTAGTTTAAATTATTTTTACATTTCAGCTGTTCTTATATTGACATTTGCATATCTGATGGTTAGACCATATGGAAAACTAAAGTTTCCTCGGTGGCCTCTACAGTAGATGTGGTGATAATAGGACAGAAAGTGCTTACTCTGATTTTCTGCACACTTGCTACACTAATGAGGGACCTAGAGAAAATAGGATCCTATTGTAACATGCTGTTGCTCAACTATTGATTGACAGAAAAGTCCAGAAGAGCACAATTCATTGAAATAATTGAGGTCACTTTGACACACTTTACCAGGGTCAGATTTCTGAAAAGCTGCTAATGTATATAAACTGAATAAGGCTAATCTCTTGAACAGAAAAACAGGCTTTTTACATTACATTCTTTTGGCATGAAGTGGTGCAAAGCACTTCTGCAAAGAAAGAAAGGGATCATTTGGTTTTTATACAGCATCTTTCTCGCTCTGCTTACCATAATGAACTAGACACAAGTAGGGCAGACACTGTGTAGGCACATGTGGTCTTTGTACTCAACTTTGTACTGAACTATACACTGTTCGACAGTGGAGCTTGTTTTATCCAGATTGTAAATGTTGGCCAGTCCGCTGTAGTTCTAGGTTATTGTATTCTGTTCTATTACCTTGAAGACACTAAATGATAAATTCTGATTTCAATTACACTGGTGTAAACCTTCTGTAGCTGAAGAGTGTGTTTCAGATTTTCAGAGGATCAGCCAAATTCCACTCTTTCTTGCACCAGTGCAAACCTACTGAGCTGTGCATATTCAACCATAATTAAGCTCTCCATCTTCTATAACAGATTAGACAGATGTGCACAATTGATGTTCCTAATATGCCTTGAAGAATGCTTTAAAAAGGTGTGTCTTTGGTTCTGTTTTAGATATGACACTAAATTATTAAGACAGAGCTCTTAGTAGATCACATTATTCTAAGTACTGTAGTGTCCTAAGAGCAGCTTTCATTTGTAAATGACCTATTTATATAACTATTCCTGCATCAGCCTTCTTTTCCATGCTTGGCACGGTAATATGAATATAACATAACTTTTGCAAGAAGGACATCACAGAAATGGATTAAAATGGAAACATCCCAGGCAAACCCCATGGATACCAAGAGAGAGACTTACTAACTGGAAAAATGCTTTAGATGTTACAACATGTGTCCTCTGCTCTGTTACGGGGGCACATTACAGATCTTGAGTTATTGAGTCTCATTTTGCAGGCTTTGCACATCTTTTCCATATTCAGTTTTTTTTCCTTAGTCCTTACCTTTAGAGATATGCGCACTGGTGAACAGCTGTTCCTAAGAGATTATGAATGAAAGCAGGAAAGTCACAGTGAGCTACAGAAGGCCACAGAACATTTGATGGAGTTGTACTTCCTACAACTGTATGTGATGAGGATTTAGGAACTATCCAATGTAGGGCGAGAATAAGGTGCCTAAAAATGGGCTTCATGGAAGCTAGTACACTTAGCAGGGAGTTGCATAAACTAGCTAATAGGAAATTGTGAAGACAAGGTTGTGGCCCTAAGTCCCAGATCTCAAACGGTATATCTATATATCTGATGTCTGTGCTGTTAGAAATGGGTTTTCCTCTCTTTTGTAACTCAGGGTATATCTACACTACAAAGTTAATTCAAAATAACAGCAGTTATTTCAAATTAACTTTAATAACGTCTACACATGCAAACCGCTATTTTGAAATAAATTCAAAATAGTGGAGCCCTTATTTCAAATTTTGTAAACCTCATTCTACGAGAAGTAATGCCAAATTTGAAATAGCTATTTCGAATTAAGTGCTGTGTAGACACTTAATTCGAAATAGAGGGCCTCTAGCCCTTCCCAGAGATCCCTGGTGGACACTCTGGGCACAACCAGGAAAACTTACTCTCCTCTCCCCCAGCCCTGGAGCCATTAAAGGGGTAGACCCTGGCCACAGTGCCT